AGGGAGACCATATTTTAAAATGAAAAATAAAAATAAAGAGGGGTGGAGGAGGTAACGCAGTGGTATAGCAACTCTGGGTTCAATTCTTAGAGCCGGGGCGGCAGCAGCGGGAATTAGGGTAGGGAAGTAATGTGTAGTTATTGTAAAATGAGAAATACATAAGATTCAGAAATTCATAAAAAAGAATGGAAATCATCTGACATTGTATTATCTGATAATTAATCATTAGCATTTATCAGTATATATTATCTTAGGCTTTTATCTGTGTCCACATTCACAAATATTTTTATAAAATAGAGCCATATTAATCACACTCTTACAACCTGAATTTTTCACTTCAAATAAATCCGGTCATTGTCCCTGTTGATCAATGCCGCTGGGTGTGGTAGTGAACGCCTATAATCCCAGCACTTGGGAGGGGAAGCTAAAGCAGGAGGGTCATTTCAAATTCAAGTCCAGTGTGAACTACACAGAAAAACCCTGTCTCAAACCACCCCCAAAACAAACAAACAAAAAAACCCCAAATTAAATATAGATTTGCATTAGTATTTTAATGGTATTCCGCCTTGGATATATCAAAAGGTACAGGGCTGGGGATTTAGCTCAGTGGTGCAGCCACTTGCCTCGCAAGTATAAGGTCTTGAGTTCAATCCCCAGCACCAAAAAGAAAAAAAAAATTATTAAGCTAATTCCTACTGATGGACATTTACATTTGGGTTGTTGTTGTTTAGGTTTTTTTGGTACTGGGGAATGAACCCAGGACCCTGCCATTTAAAAATTTTTTTATTTTGAGACAGGATCTGGCTATGTTGCCAGTTAAACTGGGCCTTAACTTTCAATCCACCTGTCTCAGCTTCCCGAAGTTTTGTGTTAATAGACATATGCTGCCGCACCTGGTCTTAAAATACTTTTTCACTGATACAAACACATACCTCATGGGCAGGGATTTAGCTCAGTAGCACCGCCTCCTGCCTTGCTAGTGCAAGATCCCGAGTTCAGTCCCTGGTACCAGCAAACAAACAAACAAACAAACACATACCTGGTGATTGCCATCTGGATTCACGTTTAGCTGATTTTCCCCCCTAGGGAAAATTTCTAACTGCGGAATGTCTAAGCCAAAAGATGCATGCATTTCAGAGTTTGAAAACATAATGGCCAAATCCTTGTCCAAAAAACATTTTCCAGTTTCTCCCATTGATGTGATGGAGAACTTCCTGCCTGCCACACCTACGAATGTAGTATTGTCCTTGTTATTTTGCATTTCTCTCATTACCGGTAAGGTCAAATATTTCCTTGTTGTTTTGCTCCAAATTTTGTTGGTGGGGTGGGAGAGGTGTGAGGTAAAGAAATCTTTAACTTTTCACATTTGATTTATCACTTCTAAGCTATTGGTGTTTGATGACCAGTTTAGAAAGATGCTTTTCACATCTACCATAGCATTGTACATGAATGAGTCTGTTTTCTATTATACTCTTATAATTTTGTTTCATTTTAGTACTGAAATCTTTGAGCCACTTGCCAGTTACTTTTGCCTAAGGTCTGAAATAGAGTCATAATGTACTTCCCCCAAGTTTTGATTGACTACCATACTTTCTTTTATTATTATTTTTTGTTTGTGTGTATGTGTGTTTGTTTTTTGAGACAGCATCTCACTCTGTAGTTGAGACTGACCTGGAACTCACTATGTAGCCCAGGCTGGTCTCAAACTCACAGTGATTCTCCTGCTTCAGCCTCCTGAGTGCTGGGATTACAAGTGTGTGCCACCACACCTGGTTTATACTTTCTTTTAAAAATAACTTACCCTTCTCCTGTCCTGTTCAACTGAATTATAACTGCCCACAGTTCCAAGAGCTCTTGATGTATGAATTGGTTCAGGTTTTGCTACCACGCTATAAAACAGGTGCTATTATTGCTGCAGTTTATTCCCAAGGAAACTGAAATCACATGGCAGATGCTCATTGGAGCTGGGTAGGAGCACCGGGAATCTGATCCTAACGCCTATGTGTGTTGCCTCTTGGCAGAATAACTCATTGCCCAGTTCCAAAGCTGCTTTCTTGGGCCACCTTCTCTGCCCACCCCCCCACCTGGGGTGACAAGCTGCCTCCTTACTGGAAATCCTTGTAATTACTGTACTTACATTCCTGTTTGGCAAGAAGCTGGCATAGGCTTGTGGCTCATCTTCCATTCCAAATGCCAGCTTTGCTGGTGACAGGGAGAGGGTGTTCACTTCAGACTCAGAACTTTGCTCATAACGTATACATTTTTCTTTTCTCCATCGTTAGTTTCTGGTTTATTGATTGATTGATTGAATTTTGAGGTAGAATCTCACTAGGTTGCTCAGGCTGATCATAAATTTCTGAGCTCAAGTGACCTTCCTGCCTCCGCCTCCTGAATAGCTGGGACTGTAAGCACATGCCATCACACCTGGCTAATTTCTGTTTTAACTCTAAAATAAGACATGAGCTTAGTAAACATTTATATGGCCTCCTCCTTTGGTCTTCTTCCAGAGGTAAATACTAAAAAATTTTCTGTTTATACATAGGTATGTATGTATGCTTTTGTTTCACATAGTAGGAATGCTATAATTGTCTCTTCTGCACCTTGCTTCTTTCAGCTCCTTATACCTTAAACTTAGTCCCACTTGAATACACATAAGTCTAGCTCACTCTTTTTAATGACTATATAACATCCCATTGCATAATAAAGATACTCTATAATTTATACAACCTGTCCCCTATGAATAGCATTTAGATTGTCTCCAGCTTTTTACTTTTACAAATAATTATGAAATGAATACCCTTGTTCTTTTATCTTTAAGGGTGCATGGAAGAATATTTGCAACACAAAATTATAACAGTGAAATTGGTAGCTCAAAGTGTATGGACACCACGTGTGTGTGTGTTTGTGTGTGTGTGTGTGTGTGTGTGTGTGTGTGTTTGTGTGGCGCTGGGCCTTCACACTGAGCTACATCCCCAGCCCTTTTTATTTTTTATTTTGAGACAGAGTCTCATTAAGCTGCTGCACTGCCCAAGCTGGGTTTGAACTTGCAGTGATCTGGCCTCAGCCTCTAAAAGCACTAGGATTACAGGTACGAGCCACCATGCCTGGATCCTCACAAATTTCGATAATGCCAAATTGGGTCATAGATTTTTAAAGTTAGGCAATATTTTTAAACTTACATAGTTGATTTTCAATAAATAGTTACTGAATACTGAATGTCTTTTGATGAAAGCAATTCAAACATAGGGACAAAAAACAAACACTAGTCAGTATGGAAAAGGGGCCTTCACACTGATTGTCTATGGACTCAAGAAGACTTGAAAAAAAGATAAACTTGGATTAAAATAAGAAAATGTCAAGTGGTAGTGAAAGCCAAAGGCCCTTAATGATTCTGTCATTACACAATGGTGGAGAAACAGGGTTAAAATTGAGACGCAGGGCCTTGCCTCTCTGTGCTGGAATCCATGGCAGGCCTCTTAGTACCTGTGTGACCTTGGGCAACTTCATTTAAATTCTCTGCTCCTTAGTATCCCGTGAAAATGGGAAACAACAGTGCCTACTTCCTGGGATTGGAATGAGACTGCAGGAGCCCATGTTCGACACTAGGTTAAATCTCTGGAATGATGGGGCGGAGGAGGAAAGGTCCTCTTCGGGGCCAGCTGTAGCAGATCTGCAGATGCTGTCTTGCTGCACGTATAACAGTGGGGAAGCTGTGTCTTTGTTTTCTGGGAAACACAATTACTCCTGGCTGCACTGTAGAGGACTCGCATGGCTCAGGAAGAGACCGATTCTGGCAAATGAATGGAACACTGGGGTGTTCAGTTCTAAAGCTGATTTATGAAAAACAGTGGCATTTAGGCCATTGATTAAAACATGCTACCACAACACAAGAAATGATTGTTTTGAGTGTTGGATGTGATTTTTGACTCCTGAATAAATTGCTTTGTTCCATTAATGAGAATAGCAAGGATTTTAACAGCTATTATGAAATGTTTCCAACTTCTGAAGCGCTTACAGTTAGAGTAACTTTTTGTGCTGCTGAGGAAGAGTATTATACAGAGCGAAGTGTGATTTACAGGTGTATCCCATGTATGTTACACTATTGGCCCACTGAGCTTATATAATACAATGAAATGATTTTGTATGCTTTACAGATAATTTTGTGTAGCGCTTAAAGTCATTTTACTTTTTAAATCCAGTTTTTGAGGAGTACTTCGATTTTTTTTCATCATGTGTACTCCTTAATCTCTACTTTTTTTTTTTTTTTTTTTTTGGTACCGGGGATTGAACTCGGGTCCTTGCGCTTGCAAGGCAGGCCACCGAACCGCTGAGCTAAATCCCCGGCCCCTTAATCTCTACTCTTGAAAAAAACCAGAAATTGAAACAACAAACTTATTTAACATCAGGTTTAAAAATGTAGTCTCTTATTTTGTAGAAAACACAAATCAGGAAGAGCATATAAAATTAATCCCTGTTGAAATATTCAATTTACAATACTGAGTTATAAATGAAATCGTGAACCCTTGATAGCATTAACGTCAGTCGATTTCTGTAGGACATAAAGTCTAGAAATCCATTGTGGGAGAAAAGGGTATAACTATTTTTCACTTGACAACAAAATGCTGTGTGCGCAATTTTTTATCTGTAAAATCTCTCAGGAAGAGACAAATTCCTTTTCTACAACCCAAACAAAATGCTCATGAATGTGTTCGTGGCACAAATTGTGGGATTCCAGATGGTGGCGCTGTTCTCACAGAGAAAAACTACAAATTTTTTTTTCTTAATACGTATGCTATTATAATTAGTCTTTTATCTATAAAGCTGTAAAAGTGACAAAATAATACAATACAATGTCTAGTAGTCTTTAAATTACTGTTTTAAAATTTGGGATTATTTTAATATCTAGTGATTTATTGGCAACATACTTTACAGAAAGATAGTGTGTATATTTATTTTGAGTAGTGATGCAAAAGCAGTCATCATTTTTTGTATTTCAACAGTAAAATCTCCAAAGAATGCCCTTATCTTTGAAAAACACAGTGCCGCATTTATGAAGTCATAAAAACCCCTGGAAAAGGAGCAAAATTCAAGACAAACCATTACTAAGGTGGGTAAAAAAGAAATGCTATTCAGATTCAAAGAAGAAAGGTAACTGTTAAATCCATGAGATGCAACTGCCAACAGTTCTGCTTTTATTTCAAATTATTTTATTTTGCTTTGTTTCTTTCAGTCTGGTTTCCTTGCTGTGAAAGTCATAAATAGAGAAAAGTAAATGCTTACATATTTTTATTCCCAGAAGCCACTTCCTAAAAGATAAAAATTTCCTTCTTTCTTTCAAATTTCCCTTTTGAAGTAATGCCCAAATATCTCTATGTGGATCTCTGCATACCTGCGGATGCCTGAGGGGGAAATATTACCACATATTTATTTAAATTAAATAAAAGCCAAGTGTTTCTTGTGAAAGGTCTGTAGTGGTTCCATAAAGTCTGGGCAGGTGATTTTCTCTAATGTGGAAGTCTTTCTTCTGGCAGAGACCCACACTGATACAACTGAATGAATCTTAATCCATTCCCAGTCAGGAGCTTAGACCCCCCCCTCCCATCCAGATCACCTTCCCCCAGTCAAAACGTCCTTGAAGTATCTGGAGTATTTTTTAAAAGAAGTAGACAGCTAGAAAGGTTTCCAAAGATGAGAATTCCTGAATCCATCAACAACTTACTTTTGACCGTGGGTAAAGTACTCACTTGTGCAAGCTGTTCTCTGTAAGTAAGTGAAAAAAGCCAAATGCAGTTATGCATATTTGTAAACCCAGCACTTGGGAGGCTGAGGTAGGAGGATTGCTGTCAGTTCATGACCAGCCTGGGCTACATGTGAGTTCAAGGCCAGCCTGAATTATACAGTGAGACCCTGTCACAAACCAAACCAAAACAAAAGAAAGCAAAACAGTGAAAGAGTTGGAGTAGAACAGATGACATCTAAGGCCAAGTCCAGATCTATAACTACTATTTTCAAATAAAAACATATTCATAAAGATTTATAAAAGATACATGATCATATACATAAACACAGTTTTATATATATATATCTAAATGAGAAGCATGATGTATGGTTTCACATAACAGGCAGGGGATACAGTGGTTATGGGATGGATTAATTTAGTTGTCCCATGGCATTACAATGGATGCCACTCTTTTCTAGCTTTCTCTCCTGTCATCTCTCACTATCTTAGATGGTGTCCTTAAACTGAGGTTCTAGGTTCTGAGTGTTGCACATGGGCACAACCAAATCAGACAAAACAAGTGGAGCCATTTCATTCTGTGAATCTCTTGTTAATAGGGAGGACATTCTTTCCCCAAAATGCTCCTGGTACTACCTCAGCAGATCTGCTTTTATATATCATGTGTCATTAGCCAGAATTACATGTCCCATGACCATATCCAGACCACAACTGAAGGATATATTATTGCATGAGTATTAACATCCTGGACACGTGGTACATTTCATTAATCAGTGATGTCTGAGTCTTTAATTTGTCAGAAATTCAATATAGAAAAGGACCTTGTTGAAGTGATAAAAGGTAGAAATACGAGAATGAATACATCTATATGTAAATCAATTTTTTTTCAGAGACTAGTACTTTGCAGTGAGTTCACTTTAGTAAATATTGGTTGAATAATATTGACCTTTAGGGTACAGCATGTTGAAAACATTTAGAAAACATCAAAGCAAAAGAAACAGGGATAGAAAAATGGTTGTAACTAAAAGTCATAGAATGACTAGCCAGACAGAATGGAAGATGTCCTAAAGCAGAGATACAAAAGCAAAACTAAGGCCTGATGTCGCAGAAGTGATTATGACAACAGGGAACATGTTTCACTTGCCTTGCTAACCAGCTTTGGCTCCTAGGAGGCTCTGAAGGTCATCCTGCACTGACTTCTGACTAACAAAAGAGAACCTTTTGGTTAAGGTGATGTAACACAGAAAGAGATTATGCCATCACAGATGTTTTATTATCAGATGAAAAATTGCCTAGCACGATTGGAATGCACATGAGGCTTGAGGAAATCAGATCCCCAAAGTTTAGACCAAAAGAGAAATAATTTCAGACATGTTAAAAATGTCTGAAACTGTGAAATGATCTTCCAGAATGTCCAAACTTGAGTTTTACAAAAAAGCATCAAACGACTTAGCCCTTTATTGGAAAATCAAGGCCAGTGGACTGGGGTGGGTCACACAGAGGGCAGAAATGGGGTGGCTGAGACTAACAGAGGAGCACATGGGTGGGCAGCCGCTGGTTAACAAGACTTGTGCGGGAAAAGATGACAATAAATATCACACTGACCTCTGCAGTCTAAGTGAAGTTCTGCTTTGGAATGCAGGTTGATTTGTTCATACAATGAGACACAAATGGAGAGGGAAATCTAGTTTGCTCTGAACAAGAATGCGTCACAGAAGAAATTTTGATTGGTGGTGCATATCTGTAATCCTAGTCCTGTGATAGGCAGAGGGAGGAGGATCGAAAGTTTCAGCCTAATTTAGCTAATTTAGTGGCTTGGTTAGATCCTGTATCAAAAAATAAAGTATAGGTTTTTAGCAAAGAACTGGTAAAACATGGGCTCTGCTCAAATTTTAAATATTCTGACCTTTTTAGTTAGACATGGTATGAAAGACCTACAAGAGCTCTATTCCCTGGTCACTGCATACTTATCCTTCACAGCTTCCTAACCTTCTAGTTAGAGCTGGATGGAGGCAACTAGGTCCTGGCTAAATGGTATCACATTATCCCACAAAGCCTAGCGGGCCTCTTCCCCAGTCTCCAAGCTGTTTGTGTGACAATATTTGAAATAGAATCTATAGTAGATCATAGGCCTTAAAGTAAGAACAAAAATAATTAGGAGCCCCAGAGGAAAGTGTAAGTCTTCATAACCTTGGTTAGTGATGATCTCTAGGATACCACACTGACACAAGTGTTCAAGAGAAGGTTGATAAATTGGATTGAGTCAAAATTAAAAATGTTTTGTGCTTCAAAGGACACAGAAAAGGCCATGCACAGAGTGAGAGAAAATATTTTCAAGTCACATATCTAGTAAGATGCTTACATCAAAAAGAACCTTTGCAATGCAAAAATTTAAGAAACAGCTCAATTTAAAAACGTGCAAAGAATTGGAACAGCCATTTTTTTCCACAGAAGATATAGCAATGGCTAATAAGCACGTGGACAGATCTCATCAGTAATAATTAGGGTAATGGAGATCAAAACTCCGTGGAGATACTACTTCAAATCCACTAGAAGGTTGAAAATGAAAATGAGGAGGTGTTGGCTAGGATGCGGAGAAAGCAGGACCCTCATCCACTGCTGATGGGAATATGAGCCACAGTTTTGGAAGAGTTTGCCAGTTCCCCAAGTGATGAAGCACAGAGTTCCCACAGGATTCAGCAGCTGTGCGCCTTGGTATCTAAGAGAAATGAAAGCACTTGCCGCACAGAGAGTGTACATGAATTTTCATTGCAACATTACTTAGGGTAGTCAAAGAATGTCAACAATCCAAATGTCTGGAATATTATTTGGTCATGAAAAGAATGAAGTGCTGATGTATTCTGTAAGTGTTCATTCATGCCAAGTGGAAAAAGCCAGTCATGAGAGACCACATTCTGTAGGACGCTATTTGTATGAAATGTGCAGAACAGGCGAATCTGTAGAGACAGGAAGTAGATTTAGTGGCTGTGAAGTTATGGAGGATGGAGGAGTTGAGGGTGGGATGGGAACCGACTGCTAATGGATTCAGGGTTTCTTTTGGGGGTGATGGAATGTTTTAAAATAGATTATGGTTACACAGCTTTATGGATTGGCCTGCAGTAAACACTACTTCTATTTGTGGCCTGCTTTTCTATATCTCCCTGTATCTTTCAGAGCTTTACTTGCCTGTCTATGCCCCTATCTGTTGAGGGTTGCAATTGCCTGAGAGAAGGGGGAATTCAGTGAACGGTGAGGCCTCTGCTACTCTCATGTTGTTTTTTTTTCTTTCCTTTCTTTTATTATTATTATCATTATTATTATTATTTTCTTTTTTAGATAGGGTCTAGCTATGTGGTTCAGATGGCCTGAACTCACTGTGTGGTCCAGACTGGCTTCAAATTTGTCATCCTCCTGCCTCAGCCTCCCGAATCCTGGGATTACAGGCATATGCCACCACACCCAGATTTGGATTTGTTTTGAAACAATGTTTTAGGAACTTAGGGAATTACAAATCTCGGGGGCTGGGAGGGGGGGAGCATATTTAACTAAAATATTTCAATCCCTGATTAAATTTTACACTTTTTTTTTTTTTTTTTTTTTTTTTTGTACTGGGGATCGAACTCAGGACCTTGCATTTGTGCGGCAGGCAGTGGCACCACTGAGCTAAATTTCTGGCCCTGTTTTTGATTTTTTGAGACAGGGCCTTACTATGTAGTTCAGGTTGGTTTTGAACTAATTATGTAGCTGTCTTAGTTATTCTCTCCTCACCGAGACACACTACCAATACCCACCACTGGAAAGAGGAAGGATTTATTTTAGCTAAGAGTTTGTGAAATTTTAGTCCCTAATCCACTGGCTCCAAGGCAGGGTGGGATAGCAGAGGGGCATTGCTCCGGACAGACAGGTCAGGCAGGAGGCAGAGAGATATCAAGGGGAGAGGGAGAGAGAGGCCACGCCCGTGAGGCCCCCCTCCAACCAGGAGGGCCCAGCCCTAACAGCCTTTCAGGTACTGAACTCATCAGTGGATGAATCCGGTGCTTAGTATGGTGCCCCAAGATCCAATCAGCTGAGACTTTTGGAGGGCTTTTTAGATCTAAACCAAAACAACGGTGTGTGTGTGTGTGTGTGTGTGCACACGCGTCCTACAAGCACTTGTCATGGACCTCTGCTTTTGACAATCATCGCTCTCAATTCCTTAGAATGCCTAAAATCAAGATTATCCAGCAACTCTGCTTTTCTTAAGGTATCAAAGCTGCCAAATGAACTGCGAACTTGCCATTTAATAATTGGTTATAGGGACTGAGGGATGATGGCTACTAGCAGAATTGTACAACTGCCTTAATTTTTCCCTAGAATTTCATCAAAGTGAC